GTCCCCGCCTGCGAAACAATGTGAAATGAGACTTCTGAACCGTAATCCTGCTTTTACAAGCACATGGCCGCCCAAAACTGGTGCTTGAGCGTCTATAGCTCTGTTTCTAGGAACTTAGGTGCCCATAATTAGTGCCTAGGAGCACGGGCCTCTAGTTTCGGGCGTTTGGGCCCCTAAGACTGGTGTTGGGCGCCGATTCAGCCCGTTTTGAGTTTGTTTCGTCTCTTTTGTTCCCTAAGTTGCTTAATCACATGCACTGCATGTACAACCACAAATACTATGGAAAATCATAAAAGTGACAAATAATAAAAGAAAAAAAAATAGAAATATCATGCATGTTTGATACACATCAAATGTTTAAAGTTCCAGAGAGATGTTGTAGTCTCAAGGAAGACCATTTTTTTATGCAATATTATTGATCTTCTCAACAATCTTGCATGAACCATCAACTCTAGGCTTGAACTTTCTAATGAACCTACAAAGAAACCTCACCTCTTTTAGTATAATCCACAATCATTCCTTAGAAATCATAACATTTCAAAACTTAGTCAGTTTCTAATACTTGGTATTTTATTTGGCAATTTCCTTTCTCAAATGCTCATATAAGGTCTAGGTCTAAATCTCTTTAACTCTACTCTTTGTATCAGTATTAAGCTCAATAGTCGAAATTATTGACAATAATTATGATGGTGGGAGATAATTTCTCCTACATGAAATCTCAAATGGATCATTGTTTGTCAATTGAATAGCAGACTGTTGCAAGAAAACTCGATTGAAGGACAAATTAAGTCCTAATTCCTAATAACCTAAGAAGGTTCCCCAAACTTCTATTTATCATTTTTACATGGTTGTCTACCTAGGGGTGAGCTGTTGAATTAAAGAATTTAGTACCGTATAAGATTTTTTGAAAATGACTCAAAATTTTCACAATTCTATCAAAAATGATGGTCAAGAGTATGCCATTAAGACGAACTAACTCCAAGAAATATGAATCTGAAATATGTACAAAATTCATCATCTTGTGAGAAAGTACAAAATGTGTTGCCTTAAAAACAATCAACCACCACCATAACTGAATCATTTGTTTGTTCCGTGGAAGGCACGCAACGAAGTCCATGCCCACATCGACCTGCGATAACTTTGGTACAAAGTGTTTACATTCATATTCTGCCCTCAGGACTTGGCTAAGAGACATCCTACATTGTCAAACGTGCATATGTGATCAAATGTGTTCTACATGATCCACAACTCATGAAGCTCCCAAATCCAGACTTTATGGCCTATGAACATTATTGCAACTCATCATTACAGTCTACGTGATTAACTACGACCTACGTAGTCCACAGCCCATAGAGCTCCCAACTCCAGCCCCTATATTCTACGGACGATATCACAACTCACCATTACGGTCTACGTGAACTACAACATACGTGGTCCACAACTCATTCAACTCCCAACACACGCCTCTACGGTCGAAAAATGTTATTGCAACTTAGCACTATGGCCTTCGTAATCAATTACTGTCAACGTGATCCACAACTCATGCAGGTTACAACTACCATCTTGGCCTACAGACGTTATTGCAGCTCACCACTATGGCCTACGCGACCAATTTGGTTTAAATAGTCCACGGCTCATGCAGCCCCAACTCCGACATCTATGACCTACAGACATTATTGTATCTCACCACTAAGGTCTATGTGACCAAGTATGATCTACGTGACTCACAGCTCCTACAGCTCCCTACGACAACTTATGTGATCAACCAATGACCCTTAAGCAACAATCTACGACCTATATGGCCAACAAATACCATGGGCTTCAACTACGGTCTCTACAACAAGCTAGCACTAAAAATACCATATACAACAATCACGAGAGACTACTGCCTCCCTAGTGATTGACTATAGTTTTCAGAGCTCGTTACGATTATCATTACTTAAATACTACTATATATCAACTTTGGAATTACATTTTCTCTAATGCAAGAAAAGAATAAGCTTGTATGCTACCTCCCTAGTGATTGACTATAGTTTTCACAGCTCGTTACGATTATCATTACTAAAATACTACTATATATCAACTTTGGAATTACACTTTCTCTAATGCAAGAAAAGAATAAGCTTGTATGCTCACCATTACATTGGATTATTTTAACTGGGCTAGGCCCCGTGAATTTTTTCCTTTTCAGGGTTTTTAACATAAAAAATTGAGGCGTCTCCCCTTAATACTTTTCTTTTATCCGTGTGTGTTGAATTCTCATACTACATTGAGATAATAATTTACTACACTACCACCACGGGCTTCTGACACGCATCAGTCATAATTAAGGAAAACTTGAACCTCGAGCCATAAAACCTTTATTCATTAGTTATGCTCCCACCCAAAAGAGGTATAAATGTTTTGATTATAATTCTTAAAAAATTGTTCGTCTCCATATATGTCACCTTCTTTTTAATTACAATCCTTTTTTTCATCTCATCTTCAAATTGGGGAGAGACAAAACAAAGATTTGACTACTGCTTTTTAGGATTTTTTCAAATCGAAGACTCACAAAATTATATCTCTCCAACCTTGATTGTTCAACCTAAAAATCCAAGCTATATTATATTTGGAGAAAATGGGTTAAATATTTTAGTTACTGAAGTCGATTAAGATCTTCTTAAAATGTCATCTCATGATGTTCATAATCTTACAACTAACAAAGAAGAAACAGAAAAAAGAACTACGACATCAGTACCATTTGAAATTGTCTATTTGCGACAAAGGACAATTTAAAAGGAGTTTATAAATCCTTTGCATTGCCCAAAATCCCTTAATCCTCTAAGTAATATCCTCACTGAGCCTTCACTCCATGATCAGCCCAATTTATCTTTGAGTTCTGAGTCTTCAAGTTCTAAACCCAGTCTAGGCGTAATCCTAAATCTACGGATTACAGTCATCCCATTGTTGCTTGTAAGAGAGTGAGGCCTTTCACCCAACATCATTTGTCTCATTGTGTCATATGAAAATTTTTCACCTATTTTTTAAGCTTCCACAATTGTTTTGTATGAAGATTTCAAATATTGTGCAGAATCTCTGAAAGTTCCTAAGTGGAAAAAGGTTATCTTAGAGCAGATGAAAGCCTTCAAAAAATTAGAACGTGAGAATTTGTTGATCTACCAAAAGGGGAAAAAAACTATTGGATGCAAATGCATGTTTATAGTTAAGTATAATTTTGATAGCTCTTTTGAAAGATACAAAGCTCGAATGATTGCCAAGAAATTCACTCAAACCTATGGCATTAATTACTTAGAGACATTCGCTTCAATCGCAAAATTAAATTTCATAAGAGTTCTTATGTCACCTACAACTAATCTTGACCGACCCCTACACCAGTTGGATATAAAAAATGTATTTCTCAATGGAGGCTTAGAGAAAGAAGTATACAAGGATGCACCTCCAGCATTTAGTTAGATATTTGACACAAACGTGTGCGAGCTAAAAAAATCTTTATCCTGCTTGGAGCAGCAACCGAAAGCGTGGTTTGAAAAATTTACACTATTTGTTAAAGGGAGGGGTATACTCAAGGACAAGAAGATCATAGAATATTCTTCAAACATTCAAAGGATCGGAAAGGAGCGGAAGAGCATCATACTGATTGTGTATGTCAACGATATGATTCTCATCGGAGATGGCGTATATGAAATGAACCGGTTGAAGGCTTCCCTCTCATCAGTTTTTAGAATAATGAATTAGAATTTCCGATGTATTTCCTTGACATAGAGGTTGTTAGATCGAAGAAAAGAATTGTTGTTTCCCAAAAGAAATGTATTCTTGATCTTTTAAAAGAAACTGGGATAAGTGATCGTAGGCTTGCAAACACTCCAGTTGATCCCAATCAGAATGGGAGATGAGAAGGAAGGTGGCCTAGTGAATATATCTCAATATCAAAAATTGGTACGAAAGTTGATATATTTATCACATATACTGCTAGATATCGTCTTTGTTTTAAGCTTGGTGAGTTAATTTATGCATTTGCCTTCTACAAAAACACCTTGAAGTAGTTAACAAAATTTTCAAATATCTAAAAAATATACCAAATAAGAGTTTACTTTTTCAGAAGACCACACAATAAGACATAAAGGCATGCATTTATGCAGATTGGGCGGGCTCAGTTGTTGACAAGAGATCGACATCTGGATATTGTAATTATGTCGGGAAAAATTTAGTTACATGGCAAAGTAAGAAACAGAATGTTATGGCAAGTAGTGTCGAGGCAAAATATCGAGCTATGGCTAATAGAATATGTGAGATGTTATGGCTAAAGAGAATTCTTGAACTACGGATCCCGATGAACATGCCAATGAAGTTGTACTGGGACAATAAAGCTATCATAAGCATTGTATAAAATCCAATGCAACATGATCACACAAAACATGTGGAGATTGATAGACATTTCATAAAATAGAAGATTGATTGTGGTACTATTACATGGCTTTCACTCTGACAGCGCAACAAATAGCAAACATCTTCACCAATGGACTTTTCAGTCCTAATTTTGAGTTCATTGTAACCAAGTTAGGTATGATAGATATCTATGCTCACTTGAGGGAAGTATTAGAATTTTAAAAAAATTTTGTTTTAGTAGTTTCTATTATTAGGTTTTATCTAATTATAGAACCTTTATGGCTGATTTTATTTTGTTCCTAATGTGGGAGAAATACCCTTGTATTTATGTTGTAATCATTTTCTATGAAATTAAAGAGGAATGATAATTTTTTTCCTCTCAAAAGTTATATTCTGTGATAATTCAACCATCGAAAGAACTTTTAGCCACAAAATAATTATGATAACCATCTGTGTGCAGTTGCAGTAACCTGAATGCTAAAAAGGTTTACAAAAAATGAAGATACAAAAGAATAAAAAAAATCCCCACTATCACAAAAGAAAAAGTTACTCCAAACCAGCAATCATAAATTGAAAAAATGGAAATCAAGGCTTTTAGGAGAAAAAACAACCTTCAACGGCCACAAAATTCCCGACACATAAGGCGAATGCCTCACGGGAAGTTTATCAGTCAATCTATATGTTGCCGTGATTCCTTTCAGCTGCTTCAAATCCTACGAATAGATTTTAAAAATTAAATGTGAACAAAAATCAACGGGCAAACATTGAGTGATAATTTTCTAAAATAAATTAGTATCAAATCGTCTTATTACCAAACAAAAGAATTAACAAGGCATCCCAAAATGAATTCAGGTAACCAAGACCAGCTAAGTCCATTTAAAAAGTCTTGTATTTACATGAATTGAAGCATTTAAGCAAGAGTATAAAAACGGGAAGAAAAATTTTGGAAGCCATTACTATGCAGCAATCATTAAAAACAAAGACCCAAATGAAAGAAAAAAAGGGATAATTACAAGCATAGCACCAAAAAATTTTGCTATTTACAAAATTAGCAACCATGCTATTTTTTTGGGCTACCAAACCACTATATTTACAGTGTCACGATCAAATCATTAAGAATATGATAAAAGTAAAAAATATGGGTTGGGGTTTTATTGTGAATTTTGATATTTGAGTGAGAATTTGAAAAATAACTGAGGTTGCTAGTTTTGTAAATAGCAAAGTTTTGAGTGCTATGTTTGAAAAACAACTGAGGCTGCTAGTTTTGTAAATAGCAAAGTTTTGAGTGCTATGTATGTAATTGCCCAAAAAAAGTAAAGAAAAAACTAGACAAAAGAAGCATGTACCATCACATCCAACAATATACTCACCTCAAAAGATCTCTCAGCAATTCCCTCAACCATCATATCCTTCAAAATAGGTAAGGTATCATTCAAAGATGTTGCAGCTTGTAAAATGCTGCGTCTTACAAGATCAAGCACTTCAGTGGAACAAGATTCGAGAAGTTCCAATACATGCCTAAGATAATTTCCGCTAAGCTCGGAAAAAAGAAAACCTACATCATGTATCACCTGCGCATAATATTTCAAAATAAATATGAAGTATAGGTACTCATCCAGTAACCATTAACCAGAAAATGTGAAGTACTCGATAATTCTAAATAGCTTGATCAATATAAAAACGGGAAATTAGATTAAAATAATGAATAAGCAAGAAACTTACAAGTTACAAGTTTTGGCACCGTGAATAATATTCCTTTATAAGATGTCTTTCAGAAGTTATCATAAATAATACCAAATTTCATAAAGCCAGCTTCACTTAAAGTTCACGACTCCATGACATTTGATGTTTAATTCTTAATCCACACCAACCTAAACCTAAAACTTTTAGCGAGACTCTATATCAATACATCTATAATTGTACCTAATGTCTTAAAATATTAATAAGAGAAAACCAATCAAGAATTGAATATTTTGAGTCATTATTGGTACTCATTATTAACGTGGTTACAAAGAAACTAAGGGAGAGATCAATTGTATCATTAATGGATGCATTCCTTCAAACTTTTCCGTATCCTTGGAAATTGTAAAGGTTATTTTGCATTCGTAGTCCCTTTATTCCAAATTATAATTTTTTGAATTCATATTCCTTGAGAATGACTATATATTTTTCAAATGATATATTACTTATTAACATAATATTAATATATTTCACCCTATTTTTATACGGGATACCGACAATTAAGCATCTTTTACCTTCCAGGTGGATCACAACCAGCTTTTTATAATTCTACGCATTGTAATTTTGCAATATAGAATTCAAGTTTTTTTCAATAAATCAAATGGAACTTCAAATCTTAAAAAGTATTATATGCATTATAGACTATGTTAAGTATCAAGAGTTGTGTGCTATGCTAAAAAATATTTTGATAGAATGGGCTCAACTTAGTATTTATTTAGTCTTATTTATGAATTTCCTTTTATATAATGTGTAATTAGATGAGCTTTTTAGCAATGAACAATTTCAAAATCTTTAAGCATGAATAACATAGTATCATTTACATTACTAACTTTTTAATCTTTCCACTTGGCAAATAAAAAAATTATTGCTTTTTTTTCCTTCCTCAGCTTAACATTCCAAAAATTAACGCAATAATTTTAGATGCTGGCATCACAAGGGTATGTGGCTAGTAATCATAGATGAGATTATAGATGGTAGACTTTGGGTGATCAAAATGGACACAACATTTATATGTTATGATGTGATTAGCGAATAGCCTTAAGACTTCCAATGAATATTCTATGAAAGAAAATGTATCTAGCTAGAATATTATATCAAGGATTCAAAATTAGGCCACAGAAAGTTATTGACTGCCATTTAACAGTCAAAAAGTAAAGAAAAATACATTGCAAAATTTTGAAGACAGTGCATGAGAAGTTATTATAGTTGAGCCAGAAATAGCGCATGATTTAGGAAAGATAGAAAATAAACCTAAATGAATTGAGAATGTAAAGTAGTTAATAAAGCATGTACCAATATCGTGAGAGGGTAGAATTATGTAAAAGGAATGAGCATTAAAAGGGATAGGACAAGTGAGAAGACTATGATACCAGGCATAAAGGTTCATGTAAAAAACATGGACGACATTCAGCACAAAACAACAATAAAGCAAAGATTTCAAAATGTCGACCCCAAGTTACATATGGCTGCTAAAGTTCTTTTTAATGATCATGAGGTGAAAGCAATGATATAACTATTGCAGTACATGGATCTATATGCATAAACATTTCCTGCTGCAACGTATGATTGTTTTGAAAGTGTTTTTTTATAGTGAAGATGATAATCCAATCTATACTTTTCTACTATTTTTTTAGTAATTATGTAATAATGTCAGTCAGACATTCAAAATATGTTGATCTTTCGTGTCTAGAATTAAATATAAATTACTGTAAATCTCATCATCATCAGCCTGACTACTATTTGGGGGAAGATTTATGAACTGATTTTTTGAACCATTTTCGCTCAGTTCCAACAATTTTGCATTTTGTGCTAGGGTTTTGAAGATGGGCTGCTTTTCGGCTGAACCAGTTGGTTCAGCAAGGGCACAAGTCCATCAGGGAAGTTGGACCGGTCGGCTCAGGCTAATGGGTGGGATCTGCCGACTTTCCCCCCTCCCCTTATTTTGCCTATTATAAATAAATGTTAATGTTGTTTAGAGTCCAGTTTTTGTTATATTCTGTTTTATTTTCCCTTTCTAGGATTATATCTGGTGGCAAGACGGTGTTTCGGCTATAACTCGTCCGAGGTGGTGACTTTTTTCAAAGGTTCGAGGGGTGCTCCGGCTATAACTCGCTCTTGCGGGGATAGTTATCCTCTACCTATCCCCCCTTCCCTGCTCGCTGCCACCTTCCCGGCCTCACCACCCTTCCTACTTCCCTGCCGTAAACCCCACCACTTGTGACGCCAACTCTCCCTCTCGCCAACTTGCAGGCCGCAAGCCACCGGTGCTTGTCTCTCTACTACACCGCAATCACCCTCTCTATTTTCCTGCTATGTCACACCCCACCTACGGAGCCGCAACTCCCGTATACCCCTCTCCAGCTATAATCACCACCCGCTACTCCTTACCAACACCGAAGGCCTACCTTTACCTTCACCAGCAGCTGGTTTACCGCAGCCTGCTCCCCAGCTGCTGATCCAGCCACCAATACCTCTCCTACCTGCCGCAACCAACCTTCCTTACCACCTAGATTCCCCCTTTTCCACCCACCCAGTTGCAGTCCACTCCTACCATTTTCGCCCTAGGATGTCTTTGGTTTCGGTGTTGCTATTTTTCATGTTGTCAAGTGTTTGTGTCGTAACCCTTTTGAATTTCAGAAATAATATTTCTGTTAACTCCAGTATCGGTCTTGTTTTGCATGGTTCCCCAATTCCATGTCAAACTTCAGCTATAAAAATAATCTATTTGATGCACAAGGAGATCCAAATAAGTACCATATGGATTGGTCATTTCCTGCTATGTAGTACTGTCAGAGACTCTACAAAAGATAAAAAATAAAAAAAAATAAGCCCGATCAAAACAAGAAGGAACTTTGAATTTCAAAATTACAGAATAATTTTATGGTATTACTAACTTTATTTTGACAGGGTTACGAAGTGTTGCCTAGACTTCTAAGGATTAATGTCAAAGGAAGGATAAATAAAGAGTATAAGCAAAAAATCTATGTTGCATAATCCGTCATATGATACCGGAGTTAACCAAAACGGTATTGAAAAATGAAACATTTGTTACGGAAGTGAATAGGGGTTGCAACAAACACACACCGAAATAGGAAAGTATAATAGACGCTCAGCACAAACACCAACACGGGCATAAATCGAAGGTAATGGAGCCGCTGTTGGAGGGGAATAGTGGATATAGAGGGCTGGATGGTCAAGAGGTGACAAGGGAAGGGGTGGCAGTAACAGAGAAAGGTGATAAAGGGGTTGTTAGGTAGGTGGTAGCTAGGAAGTGGTGTGGGGTGGAAGAGGGATGGCAAAGGAATCGTGGCTGGAAGGGGCTGCCGCAAGGATTAGGGGGGTTGGAAGGGGCTGGACGTAAGCCGCACTGCCGACTGAACAGTTCCGGCGAGGATGGCAACAAGTCAGGCAGTCGGGATGAAGGTTGGGGAAGCAAGAAAGGGTAGATAAATACCTCCTCATAACTGGTTACAGCCAGAGCACCTCTTCTCCTTCGGATATAGCCTTATAAGGGGTAACCTAGAAGTCAACGACTGCACTGATAGAAAGATGAATAAAAAAAATTACCTAAACATAGGAAAACAACATATAAGTATTACTAGGTTAGCTAAGGGTGGGTCTTTCAGTTAGGTCGCAAATACGCTTCAAGGAAGGATCACATGGCTCCTCTCCTCTCTTAGCATGAACCGGTTCAAGCAACCGGTTCGACATTTGTCGTTGTTGCATTCCTCACGGAAGACGCACCCATTTCAGTCTCCCGGGACTGGGGAAGTTTCAACCTCATTTATTGAATCTTCTATATCTTCGTAGTATGGAGTCAAGTTTGCTACGTTGAAGGTAGCAGAAATTTTATAATCCCTTGATAAGTCGATCTTGTATGCATTGTCATTTAGCTATTAGAGAAATCAGAGAAGTCTATCTGCTTTAGGTTTGAGTTTCCCAAATGATCCAATGGGAAAATCTCTTTCTTCAACCCGATCCACACTAAATCTCCTTCCTGAAACGACACCTTCCTTATTTTATTAGCATGCACTTGGTACTTATTGTTCTGCTTGGAGATCTCTTTTCCCACCTCCTCTTGTATCCCCTGAATCTCTTGTACCCTTGCCTCAACATCCGCACTAACCTCAGATATAGGAAGAACCGGTACTAACTCGAGCGGGGTGAGATGATTGCGTCCATACACAATCTGGAAAGGTGTGTCCCGTAGTCTGGCTCATGACCTATTGCTGGAAAATTCGGCCTGGATAGTTTAATGTTCTTTCCTATGAAGCACCTCAGAAGATTTCTCAGACTCCTGTTCACCACCTACGTCTGACCATCTGTTTGCGGATGTTGTTCAAAGTTGAATTGAAGTTTAGTACCAAGTTTTCCACACATGGTTCTCCAGAAGTGACTTAGGAATTTACTTCCTTATCAGTTGAAATGGTCATAGATATCTCATGTAGCCTCACGATCTCCCAAAAGTATAAGTCAATGACATGTGATGCATCCAGTGTCTGGTAGTAAAGTACGAAATGAGCCATCTTTAAGAACCTGCCAACCACAACCACTACTGAATCCTTGTTTTGTTGGGTCCTTAGGAGATCCATCACGAAATCCACGCTAACATCCCCACCTAAGAAGCTTCAAATACCGGTAATGGTGTGTAAGGCATTGCATTTTGCCCTCTGGTTTTGGCCATGTGACAAACCTAACACTGTCTGACGTACAGCTCCACATCACTCGTCAATCTAGGCCCAAAAAAATATTCCTTCACTAATGTGAGGGTCTTGTCTCAGCTGAAATGTACTACTAATCCTCCATTGTGACTTTCTGAAGGATGGACTCA